CTTGCAGAATTTGGAAGACTTTTTATTAATGAACTTAGACAAGCCTGTACCTTTTTTTTCCTTAAAAAAAAATACAAGGGTGCTGCTGTTGCATTATAACTAGAGCTTATGTTTTAATAGCTAAGAAATTTATGAATCTTAAGCTTCTTTATTATAACTTTTAAGCAAATATAGTGTTCGTTTTTTAATACGTGATCAAACAATGTTTATCTGAGGTCTTCTGTAGTTATTTAAGAAATGTCTTAAGAATGGACTTTTTATCTCATCATGATGCAGAGTTTGAAAGCTTGTGGCTAAAATTGTGGATGTCTCTTTTTTAATTCTAATTTTGTGGAGAGGGGAATACATAGAAATATTTTACTTTATAAGGAGATGGAGATTTTACTTTTTTTTGGTTAGTTTTAGGAGGGGAATGTTTTAGTTTTTAATTCTAATTTTGTGGAGAGGGGATACATAGAAATATTTTACTTTATAAGGAGATGGAGATTTTACTTTTTTTGGTTAGTTTTAGGAGGGGAAGGTTTTAGTTTTTAGTTGTTATTGGTAATCGATAGCCTACTTAATCTTAAAGTTTATATTACTTTTGAGATTACCCACCAGTAAGTCTGTTGCCAATATCATTAAGCATAAAATCAGTAATAACTTTAATTAAAAAATGCAAAAAGACAACATCTAAAATTTTCTAAAAATACACTACATTTTCTGAATGAATGCAACTGTTTAAAAGTATTTTCTCATTTCCTCTATTTTAAAGTTTCTGTTTCTTAGTTTTACCACTGCAGACAGTATCTGGAACTCAAATTGAATTCCTTAATTTTGAAATTAGATAAAAGAATCAGTTATTGAAATTGTTAACATGACAATCAGATGATGCAATTAAATTGTTAGGAAGCCAAGTTTGTAGTTTGGATTTAATTTATTTTAGACACTTTATTGAATCACAGAATAATGAAATTTTTATACACGTCAGAGAAAAAAACATTTGGTTAAGTTAAACAATTTGAGGTGACAGTTACGTAGAAATTCATTTGTAGAACAACCTGATACTGAAGATGAAAAAAGAAAAGTTCTAGCTCATGGAATGAAATTTAGTATTCCAAATAGGCTTAAGTTTGAGGATTCTTTTGTAGGATTTGAGCAGTTTTTCCAATTATAGCTACATTAAGTCATCTGGAATAACTCTGGTCAACCTTTAAGTAATATTAGAACTCGGATCAGTGGTATAGCATTGACTGCTTTTTATGATTACAAATTAAAACATGTTCTGAACTTAAGTCCATAAGAACTAAAAGCTTTAAAGAATTTAAGCAACACAAAAATGATAGTACTGTTAATTTCTAATTAGATAAAGAAAACAAGATAAAGATAACAATTTAAAGAAACTGAAAGATATTGTGAATTTACTAAGTTTGTCAAATTACATTATGATCTTACTGATAAACAGGAAGCTAAGTTGTGAAGATACTTACTGAAATGAAAACAAGATAATATTTTCAAGGAAAAAATTTTAACATTAGACCATCAAAAAGTCATCCAGGTATTTTTATTGATTTGCCAAAACTTCATAAAAAAGGATGACTTTTACAACCGATAGTTTTCAAGATTGAAGCCTACAATCATGCTTTAGCAGGTGTCTCAGTTGAATTCTGGAAGAAATTTACCACTAATGAACTTACTGGAAGAGACAGTTTTATGCTTACTTGTGAAATACAACAGTTGAAGTTTGGAAAGCTTCTTGGTCTTCAAGGTTGGTTTGTCGTATCACTGTGTGAGTTGTGGCTTGAAGTCAAGTTAAACCACACAGATTACATACAGAGGCCATTGCACTAATTTTGTGATCTTTCAAACTAGTTTTTTGCACCTGAACTGACTTAGGATTGCCGTAGCAAAAGGGTTGAATACTTATGCAATTGAGAATATTTTAATTTTCTTTGAAAATCTGACTTACTTATATAATATTGGCATATTTTTATCATTCTCAGTTTGGAGTAGATTGTGTCAATTCTAAATATAAAGTCCCATTTGGAAGCTTCATGATTGCAAGCTCAGATGATAACAAAATGTGGAAACATTACAGGGGTGAATACTTTTGCAAGGCACTGTAATTTGATAGGGTAATGGGAGCTACATGGTTGCCAAGTTATTTACAACTTTTGTGGTGAAAATATTAGTTAGACATGGTTCATAGGTAAATAAAACAATAAAATTTAAATATAAATAGATGTATACTGTTACAATTTTAAAACTATTAAAGATAAACAAATGTAGTTTCATGTTAGAATTTGAAATCATTCTAGAATGAAAAAAACAATATAAATTTATTTCGATTGTTTTTTTTTGGGTGGTTACGAGGTAGTTCAAATAGGGTAGAGAAAATAACATAAAATATAGTTTTACTGAAAAGAAAGTTTGAAATTTATTTAGGGTTTTTTTAGAGATTGTGCAAATGATATTTGAGATGAAGAAAAGTATTTATAATCATATATGAAAATCAATTTGCACTTTGAGCAGTCAACACTTTGACTCCATATATTCATGGAGAAATTTCATAATGAAAATACTGAAAACTTGTGAAATTTTGTGAATTTACACAAAACATATTAGAAGTTATAGTATGAAAACTATATATGTCAATTTGGAGTAAATTTTGAGGTTGAATTGACCGAGCCTTTACCAAAAGAGTTACAGTATCATGTTGCAAAATCAATTTGGTCAATTTTTTGCAAATAGAAATAGTTTTTGGTTCACTGGGATATCCTTGTAGATTTGGCACTTTTTAATTCATTTATCATGTTTTTTTTATCCAGGTGCCTCGCTCTCCTAAATCACCTCCTGTCAGACATCCTGAAAGAGAAACTAGATCAGCAAGTCTTGTTGCTCAACCGTCCTGTCAACTTCAGGGAAGAACTCTTGTTCATCAGATATCAGCCCCTGTTCTGCCTAAGTCAGAACAGAGAGGAGTCACATCTCCAAGTTATACAAATAATAGTACTAGAGTAGAATCTTTAACTTCATCAACCGGCCCTCTAGGTTCTCAAGTTAAATGTTATCGTAGAGAGACCGATCTTGATAGTACCATCCAAATATCATCACCATTGTCAGCATCTTTGGAGAACATTGCAAAACCTGCCAGTCCAAAAGAATTGCTGGTGAGTTAAACTTAAAAGTTAAGTCTGATACACAGTTGCATGTTTTTATTAGGATTACACTAGAAACAGTTTTATGTGATAGAACAATGCCATCAGGTAAACATTTGGAGGTGGCTTGACTGGGTAATAAAGAAAACTGTACTTGAGGATAACATAATCTTGTCGAAATGTATTACATTTATAATAAAGTTTTCTTCATTACTCAGTCAAGCCGTCTCCAAACTTTTATTTTCAGTAAAGTGAGTTCCTTGTCATCAAATTTAAATGCAGTCCAATAATCAAACCTAAAAATATTTTTTTATGAATTTTGTTTATTCATTGTATTTTGTATATTTAATTAAAAGTACTAGACTTATCAGAAACATACTGACAATATGAAGCTTTTCACTGTGACAAGCAGCAGTTTTTATTTGTATGATAAATTGTTGTAATTTTTGTGGTATTTGCTTTATTTTTACATTAATACATAAAATATCCTAAAACATTAATAACTTGACTGTCCCAAAGCAAAAGAGAAATTTGTATTTCTTCTTTACTGTGAGAAAAAACTGAAAACTACTCAAAAGTAAAAATTAGTAAATATACCTCAGTCATACACTAACCTTCTCCAGACCTTCTCCATGTCATCGTGTTTATTGACTCATATTCAAAATTTTATTGAACTACTATTTCATGAATTTATGTCAATAAGTTTGGTATCAAACTGTAGATTATAATTCAAATTTTAGTATTATACATTATTTAATTTCTTAATTTAAAAGTAAATATTAGAAAAACACAGTTAAACATTGATTTTTGTGTGTCACATTGTATGTTGAATGCAACACTTGTTCAAATTAGATGTTTGTGATGTCAAAACACTAAATCTGTAGTTTCGTACAAATTAGGAACTCAAATTACCTATATTGACAAGCTAGAATATAAAATAAGAACCTCGTGTCTTTTCTGTTTGCTGAGATATCACTCGTGTAATGAATCAAACACAGTGGCCCTGCTCACCTCTTTCCATTTTTGGAAATGGTCCCTTATATACACTTACTTCAATATATGACATGTGAATAACCATTTGAAAGCTCAGAATGTCCCCTAGTGGCTTTCTCACCCATTTTCATGTGTTAAGATGTCATCTCTTTCTTTCGAACCAAGATTTACAGGAAATAGGTTATATTTTTAGTCTGCTTGAAATTTCATATTTTTGTAGACCTAAATACAGCTTAGTTACTAGACTTGATAGGTTATAGTGAAATTCTATGGTATTGATGTAGTAATTTCTGATTTTTTAGTTATTCAAAAAAATATATAAAACCATTCAAAAATATATATTTTGTTTCATATCCTCCACGTGCGAAATTTTAAAAAGCTTAGCAACCTACATCAACCAGTAACCATAACTAGAAGAGATAATTGTTTGCTTTACTTCTTTATTTATTATTCTATGTTTTAAGAAAAATAAGTTTAAGAACCAATTTCTAAATAGTAATCTATATACATATATAATGTATAATGATGGAAATGTGATTGTATTTTACAAAATACTAGTCTACTAAAATGCAGCCAAGACAGGTCACTTTGTACAGACCAAAGGTCACCTTT